GAGGATTGGCAATAGATGTTAGCTCAGAGCCGGTCTTCCTCAGCAAAAAGAGGATGATTAGCATGGATGTTAGCTCAGGGCTGATCTTCCTCACACAAAAAAATTAAATAAACATATATTCCTTTAAAAAAAAAAAAAAAAGTTCTTCCCTCGCAGAGTTGTTATGAGGTTGAATGAGCTAATACATGTAATGCTGCCAGTGGTGCCTAGTGCCTGCTAAGTGTGCCATAGGGCCGGTGATCACGTGGGTTTTTCAAGCCCCCCGTTTAGTGCTGTCTGGACAAGAGACATTGACAAGATGTGAAATTGAAAACAGGAGAAATTTGAAAAGAGGGACTCAGGAGGTGTATTTAGATATATATTTCGCATTTCTTTTTTACAACATACATATCACAAGGCTGGATCACAAAATATCAATCAATATATAGGCCTCTTTCTTCCTGACTTTAATTGCTCTCCCATCCCATGTTCAAGAAGATTAAGCCAAATTGTCTGGATCTGTCAATCAAAGCTTTCGATGTGGTTCCTGCCTGCCTCTCTCCAGCCCCAGCCCCCACAACTTTCTTTCTGTGCACTGTGATCCAGCTGTACTGAAGGCAGGAAAGTCTGAAGATTCTCATGGTCTTAGCAAGGATGGCCACATCCAGCTGTGCAGGCTGTGCACTACACAACTCCAGAGTAGCTCTGATCTTAGCCCGTGGTTTTTGCCAACGTGTCTTCTCATCTTTCAAGGATATAATGGGCATTGCCAATTGCCTCCTCATTTCCATTTCCCTTCCAAAGGGGTCTCATCTTTCCCAGCAATTGGCTTGAGTGGTCTCAACCCAATCTCCAGCTTCAGGGGCCCTGAGACATCTGAGCCACAGAGCCTATCACATTCCTTGGCTGTCACACCTGGTTCAGGGACAGTCACTAACTTAAGCGGGTGCAGTCAGAGTGCAGCTGGGATGGTTCCTGGCATGCTGGGAGGTGGACAAGGAATCTGGGGGGCCAGAGACTGCTGGCAGCCATGTATACCTAGTTCATATCCACTGAGAGCCCCTCTGTGACAGAGTCGGTTTCAAGCACTTTCCCTGTATGAGGTTTTCAGTCTTCACAACAGCCCCATGAAGTAGGTACCACGATCATCTCCGTATTACCAATGAGGAAACCAAAGCTTTCAGGGGGAAAAGATACCTGGCTAGTAAGTGGTGGAGTCAGGATTTGAACCCAGGCTCAACCACTAGGCTGGGCATCTTGCTTCCAAGGGAAACTGGGCTCAAGACAAAGGCACACATGGACAGAGGCCAAAAGAACCACAGTGAAGTGTGGCTGTAGCCTTGATGATACTGTGAACACCTGGATCACACTGCACCTGAAGGCTTCCCTATTGCTAGACGTTCAGTATGGATGCCATTACATTTCCTTCAGTGTTTGAGCTCATTTGAAGTAGATTTTCTGTCACTTGTTAACACATATCTTAATGGATGCAAAGGCTCAGCTCAAGGTCCTCTCCTCCAGCACACCTTGAAGGCCCTCCCCTGGCTCTCCTAACCTCACCACCAGAGCACCTTCACAGGGCTGGACCTGCCAGCTTGCTCCGTCCGCCTCTGGGTCGTGAGCACCTGCGTCTGATCCCTGTGGGCTCTGGCTCCAGCACCCTCCTCGTCCGGCCCTGTCCTTCCCTGTGATGGTGCTCAGGGCAAGCTACCCCAGGAAGCACCACTCTGACATGCGGATTATTTCAAGCTGAAGACAATAAGGACTCAGAGAACTCAGGAAGAATATTTGAGTTTCCCCTCCCAAACCGCCTAAAGAATTTAAAACAAAAGATCTGTTTCAGGAAGGAGTTATTATCATGACTGCTATAAAGATAATGTAGGATAGAGGTTACAATAGAAAAGGCACCAACAAGCCCACCTTATCGGAAGTTCTGTCTCTCTGGCCACACGCTCTGGATGGCCCTGCGAGGAGTTACCAGACAATCATTTACAAGGGAAGTCTCCATTTGTAAAGGTATCTCCCTCTCTCTATTGGGAAGAGGGGGGATGACCTCATTTCTAGAGACTTATCAATGTGGAAGGTGAGGCCTTAAAACTGCATAATAAACCTTACTCTTATTTACAGTGCTTTAGTGATAATCTCCTGTAACTGACACCCCCACCCCCAACATCCTCCTTGTCTTTGGTTGGACATGGTATTTAAGACGAGAATTTCTGCTATTGTGTTGAGAAACGCAGTGTCCCT